TGAGTTGTCGTATATAATGAACCAGTGCTTGTACGGTCGAGACCCAATCGCACCTAGATGAGTTTTGAATTCGTACCTAAAGAAGACTCAAAAATTTACTACAAAAATAATTTTTCTATTTTGTTAGTTTGGTTATTTCTTTAAAAGGTTGAAAGGTGCAGTGTGTATGTATATTATTGTTTACCTAGAAGTCTGTGAGAGGTACTCCGAACATATCGCCAGTGCAACAGAACTCTCAAACGATGCCTCAACTGTCCTGTGAAAATAAATGATAATATTTATGTCTTGGATTTAGAGCTCGAGTCAGCAATGTGCGTGCTTAGTATTTGATATATTCATAGGAACTTAGAATTAAATCATGCGAATCTGTAAATGCAGAAGGCAAGTGAAACTAAAGGGCGTAACTCACTTGGGGGAGGAAGTAGGCTCAGAGGGTGAGGACTTGCCGGAGCCTCCGATCAGCGACTTGTTGAACAGCAGTTTTGCAAGCGAGTCAATCTTCTGCGCAACCAGCGGCGTCCGCTCAGAGTTCTCTTCTGTTTTAGTACACATGTATATTTTTTGTGAAAATTGTGATATCACAGCGGTATTGCCTAATATATTTATATGGAAAGTTAAAAAGGATGTAACAAGACGGACCTTAGTTATAAGTATGTCACACCGGTAGAAGTAGACATAGAAAGAGATGGATTGCGTGAAAGGTGACATGATCAAATAGGGTATGACTGAGATGACAGATGATAAAGTTATTTGGAGGACGAAAACCCGGTGCGCCAAAACAACGGAAGTAGAATAAAATACTCATACCTTCACTCTCATCTCTATCAGTAGACACGGACCTCATTTTGAAAGCATTCCTCTTCTGTGCTGCAGCTATAGATTGAGGATTGAGTTCCGCAGCCGACTGCGCCCTGCGACACGCTACTCTCTTCTTCTTCTTTCTGTAACTGGACCTCGAGCGCTCCTGGTAGAATCTATCGTGTCCTGTAGTCTCCGACTCTTTGTCTCTACCTTCCGCGTTAGCCTTCAAATGCTGGTACAAATTGAACATCTTATAATTCCTTACCACATATAGTTTTAATTTCTTGATTATGTATACCATTAAATAGTATTATATTCTTTTAATTAAACGCAATTTTTTATACTAATAATGCGATGAATGTTTTTTTTTCACAATTAAGTTGGAACAATGTTGTGGCTGGTAGAGTTTGCGCTATATGAGCGGTCGATCGTGTCTGCTCGTGTTCCGACTAATTGAAACCCCTCAAGTATCATTCAGTTGCGAAGACGAAGACATACTATGTAAACTTGATTTGTTTGTTTTGTATGACTGGATTAGATTTACCAAAAATATAGTTAGAGACTGTTTAAATACGTAAGCTAACTCTGACAACCACTTGGGCGTCAACGTAATGTGTTTCATCATAAATACGTTCACACTACGATATAAGTAATTCACTATTTATTGGTCATGATCATATTTCGTAAGCTTACGCGTAATAATTTTTCAATAGCAATGATTTTTCAAAATTCCGCGCTGCGCGCTATAAAAGAGTTCATGAACGTTTACATTAAAATGTATTTGAAATAGTTTTTCATGGTAAGACCCTTATACTAAGACTTGTTGATAGTTTTGTTTTGAATGTAACGATGTACAGATTTAAACACAGTCATACAAAAGAACCTCTTATTTTTTATGGTTACTCCTCTGTTTGTTGTCCAGTGATATTAAAAAAAATTATATTAACTATAATTCCAATCGAAGGACAAATTATTTAGACTTCTTTTTTACTAACCTTGAAAGTTTAAATATATTTTATTACAGTTCATTGTCAATTCTCGTTCCTTAGTACGGCTTCAATGGTACTGGGATTTGTACGCATGAAAACTCGCCTTGAAAAACGAATAGCGCCGATTTTAAACGTTACGACGAAATTGAAACTACGAAACGACTAAATTTGACAGTGGTAGAGCCCGCTTTAACATCTTCGAAGGAATGGGTCGGCTCGGCCGGTGCAACCACGACCACAGAGAAGACAGGCGTGAAGTGGGAACAATTCTGCGTTTCGTCTGATGCGTATGGTGCCGGAGGCCTTTAGTTCCTTTTCCATTCCACCTTTTCTTAAAAGGATAGGATGGGAAGTAAAAGTGGATTTTACGCCGAAGGCATTAGAAGAGGAAATATCCTGTTTATGTGAGTCTTCTTAGTCGATTAAAGGTAGGCAACGCATCTGCAGTTGCGGATGTTTATGAGCAGCGGTGGCTTCGCCATTACGGTAGATTCAGGTGGCCGCTTGATTGCCACCTAGTATAAAAACTACGGTAAATTGTTTATGGCGTCTTTTGAGTTTTGTCCTAATTTGCATATTGGATGATGATATTTATTTACGGTCATTTTCCGTGCATTAAAGTTGCTGTCTATAGGCCACTGTTGATGTTGCTTAATCGAATTAACAGGCGATGTTTACGATTTACTGATGACATAGACGACCAGGTAAATGCGCGCCGTTACGTTTAACGCGATTACCGGTGTCATAAACTGTATTAGTCTAAGACGCGGGTGGTTTTGTAAACATGTTATTCTGATTAATTGCGTTGCCTTCATTTGTGATCTTGTAACTGATTATTTCTAAAACCTATGCATCCTTTCAGCATCGCCAGGTAACATATAAAACTTGTTCAAAGTAATTAAATGCTTAAAATCCACATAGAGAACTCTAACATTACTTGTAAATAAGTTTTTACTAATTTTTAAAATGACCCTCTCCTTAGAGCTAGCGGCTGGCAACGCCTTTTCGTACTTATTTTTTCCACCAAATTATATAGTCCAAGTATAAGAGCCTGTTCCACATTTTTTGTAAATAATCAGATAACAAATCAACTTATAAAATATATGATGGAAACATCGGAATTTGGTACTCTATCTGACAGTGACAACACTTTTTAGCTGAGCTTCTATCAGCCAGGGGTGGGACAAGCTCTTAGAGTTTCTTCTAAAGCATGTCAAAAAGCATTTTTTCTTCAACTTGGTTGTCACTGAAGTATCTTTTTTATTACTTTTTCCTCGTTTTAAATTTGTATAGGTAGTAAAATAATAAACAAACATTAACAAAGACTTTATTAACAATATTCTCTCGCTAAAATTAGTCACAAATAAAAAATAAAACTGCCTCTATAAAAATATAGCTTTATCAAATTCAATAAACTATTATATCACATGTTGCGTTTAGTTAGATGGAATTTTACAAATACAATATGACATCGCGCCAAAAATAAACGACCACAGATCAAACAAAGAACCACAAAGACCATAAATAAAAAACAATAGAACTTTTTAACTTCGTTTAACGAATAAATTAATTATAAATATTCATTATTTATTATTTAAAAAAATAACATTAAAAAAAATGTGTTTTTTTAATTCATTTTGTCAGTTTCAATAATTATAGCATTTTTTCACTTTTGAGCGTATTTTTTGCTGTTAAATCTTTATGGCAACATAGGAACTAAAACTATTGTACATTAATAGCAACTAGTTTTCAAAGAATTACATACATAAATGGAATTATTTTATATATCTTTTTCTAAAGCAAAACATTCTTCACACAAAAATACCAATGCCAAGTCTCTCACAAAAAAGAAGAAAATACTAAAAATTATCAATTTCTGTCTATGTATGTAAGATCTTTGTTATTTACTAAAATTGTAGCAGAAACTTTTCTATATAAAAGCGTCTACGTAAAAGCGAAACAGAAAATACTGAATCTAAATTTTAACACTTGCAAGGATGTTATTTGCATATGGTATACTCGAGTTAAATTGTTTTGTTTGTAATTTATACATAATATAATCTTACGTTTACTTACATTATGTAAAACACTTTACTTTGGAGCAGTGGTATTCGATACCTTATAAACTTCGATATAAAATCTTTTAAAACTATCAGTATCTGTTTGTTGTACAAAAATATACTTTAAGTTTATTGAAAAAAGGCCGAATGTCGCTTACTTGTCAAAATTATTTCAAAGACTAATTAATATTTTGAACTTCTGAATTCAAAGTGATATTTAATCTTTGATAATTTGACAAAGAGTAAATATCACTTCTATAGCCAAAGACTAAGATGACTTTTTGTTATTTTTCTGATATATTTTTTAAGATTTTAGTGTGATTTGCGACATTCAGTTTCAGTTTTGTCCTAATAAAATTTGAAGTAAACAGTATTGAGCTGTTCAAGGAATATGAATGTGAGTACGGTGTGTGGCCCGAGGCGGGTGTAGTATGGCAGGAAGCCCTTCCAGAGGGAGAACACGCCTTCGTTGCGCAAGATGGAGGTCACCACGGACAACTGACTTTGACCTTTGGCAGCGTTTTGAATTCTGGAAAGAAAAATACTATACTAAAAAAATATATTCTTGCTCAATACGAAGCGCTGCTATCGAATAATTCTGTCAAAAAATATATAAAACCTATTTAATCATAGAATATAGCATAAAAGAAAAAATATGACATGACAGCTACAGTACGAAATTGATTTTGTTACATTTGACATTGACAAAAGGCGCTAGTGTGTTTTCCGGGTCATATAGTCATCGGTCTTTACCACTGATAACTATAAATGGATAGGCTATACTTATTGGTACTTTGTCTACTTGATTTTCGCCATTTTGGCGCTGATAATTACGGTTGGTCGCGGTGAAGTTTGCGAACTAATAAAACCTATCATTTCCAAACAATCACCTGTGTATTTATATGTATCTACGATCTAAGCATTTTATTTTACAATTTGTGATAATTTTAAAAAATCATCGAATGATATCTATACAACAAGTCAAAATTAGACCATAATTTATATATTTTTTTAAATAGTTGTCTGCACTTTCCATAGTCACTTATTATCCCTTGTTTTTAAAAAACTAACTAAATCAAAGAAAAAAACGGTTTTAACGATTTTTATTATCAACGCCATCTAGCTACAGCAGTAACAAATCATAAAAAATAATAAAAACATTTGCTATCCGTACAAAAGACAAAGTTTTAGCCTTTCTTTACAATATTAGTTATTTCTTTTAAAACTCTTCGAAACCGATATAAATACCAATTATTTTTACTTTCACAATAAATTAATTATATTACAAAATCACAGGAAATATTGGAATTATTTCATATAAATAAAACAGTAATTTCTTAAAAGCCACAGATTATAAATTAATAAAACTAAATTAAAATAAATGACAAAATACAAGCTATAACTTTGTATTTAAGAATTTGTTAGTAAAAAGCCTAAACTTTTTTATGTAAAGCCATCTACACACGTTCCGTTCACTGAATAGTATTCAGTAAAAGCTGACGTGTCTGCATAATGTAGGTATTAACGGTACAGAGGGCTTGAGAAGTCTATCGTAACACCATTAAAAAGTTGTTTAAAAAATATATCAACGTATCCCATAAAATATAAACGAGGTTCCAAAAGTTACTAATATCATAAACATTTGAGTATAGAAGCAACACAAACATGTCCAGATTTTAATTGTTTAAACTTGTCATACTAAATTTTATCAACCAAGTAATTTGGTATACATAGTTTAAAAATTACAAAATTGTACAGAAACTTATTTGTTTTACCCCTCAAATATTCGATAGACAATTCTCATTCAATTTTAACTGTACAATTCACTGTTCAGTTCACAGAACGTGTGTTACGAGCTTTAAACATTTTAAATACGTCAAAGATAGATTCGGAACGTTGTAATTTTGTGCATATTTTATAAAAAAATACTTTTTTTAAACTTCACCGTTTTACTTATAAACATTAGGGGATAATTTTGTAAAACAAAACATTTTTAGCGGCTCTATAGGAAATACCAAGAATCCTATCTACGCTGTATAATTTTCTAAATACAATTTCACTCCGTTATTTAGACCTCAATTTGAATTTATAAAATAAATTTGAAAGGCCTTAAATACGTTTATTTCAAGTATAACGGCTGAAGAAATTATTACTCTATGCAAATTTTTATGGTAAATTTTGTTAAAAAAATATATTTATAGTGCGTTATGAAATAAAAAGTTAGTCTCTTATCCAGCTTGTGCTGTCATTTTACTATTTTTTTTTAATTATTTCTATTAATATGATAAAATATATAATTTATTTAGTAACAAAAACATCGCCAAGCGATAACTAAAAGGGGTAGGTAAATAGAAGAATTATTTAATTCGAAAGTGCGTGTCTACTGAACATATTTCTATAACAGATTGAAGATATTCTCATTTTGTTGTCGAATTGTGTCATTTGTCAGAATTCTTTGGGAACAGCTCCCATCCCTAACTTGGCGACGCTTTAGTAAATTTTTAAGTCATTTATTGTGCGTAGTGTAAAGCGATATATTTACGATGCATATCTGAGGTAGGCAGAGTTAAACTGTTCGAGGAATATAAACGTGAGTACGGTGTGGGGGCCGAGCCGCGTGTAATAAGGGAGGAAGCCCTTCCATAACGACAACACGCCCTCTTTAGCCAACAAATTAGTGACGATTCCCATTTGACTCTCACCTTTTGCGGCATTTTGTATCCTGCAATGGCAAACTTTGTAGAAACTAAATTTCTTCAAAGTAATTCTCTAACTACAAACTATATGACGCAACTACAGTAGAACCTCGATAAGTTAAAGTCCAAGGGAAACACAAAATACTTTAAGTTGTAGAGGTTTAAAGTTATCAAGGGTCTTTGTTATAGAGGTTTTGGGCTCTGATGGGAAGGAAACATATTATTTTTTTAAAGTTACAGAGGTTTTTAAGTTATCGAGGTACTACTATATAATGAAAAATTTACAACAATTTGAAAGATGTTTGTAAGACTTTGTAGTCTGAACAGCTGAACAAATTTCGATGAAATTTAGTACAGATGTACGTAATAATCTGAAAGAACACATAGCTACAGAATTTTTTTTATTCCACGCGAACGGAGTCTCGGATTAAAGCTAGTAAAATCTATTTTACAAATAGGATAAGATTTGTATATCAATAGAAATATATATAGCAATTCTACGTAGAAATAGACAAATAACTTGATAGACGAACTGTAATTAGACATGTAAATCTACAATGTACAAATCTATGCACTGTACAAAGATCTGTCAAGTCTGTATAATCGAGCTGCAACTCACGGCTCAAAGTATTTTAACAACTATGTCAAGTTCTCTGGTAACTCGGAGATCAAACACATATCGTGGATTAAATAGAAAATATGCGTTTTTCAATATTATCGGATAAAAAGAGTCTATTGTTAACAATCTATACTATTATAATAAAGCGTTAACAGACACTTCTTTGTTGCTAAGATGTCAGCAATTACAGCATATTTTTGAATAATTACTTTTTAATAGAAAGCCCTACACTTACGTCACACTTTAGGCTATTTTTTTTCACGTCATTAAACTTAGGGGGTAAATATTTTGGATGAAAACCCTAATGTAGGAAAGAGATCATAAGTTACTGCCAACATCAAGGAAGCAAGATTACCATGGCTTGTCATCATATTATGTCATTTTGACATTTGCAATTGATAATTTGACACATGTAAACAATAAAATATTTTTTTTATAATTCTATGCACATGAATTCGCACGGGAACAGCTAGTATTTTTATATGGATGAAAGACACTTTAAGAAAAGAAAGAAAACCTGAAGCTGCGCTACGCTTATTTAAGCTAAAAATATTGTTAACGGGCGAAAATTTAAAACAGCTTAACTCCCGCTTTTTTTTTTTAATTTTCGCTTAGTCACACTATAGTTTAAACAATTTAATATTGTTAACAATTATTTTTTAAATGCCATTTTTCTTTTCAATCGACGATATTAGAACTATATCCAAATTAATTAAATCAGTGATCCGATTCACTGATCTGCAGATCAATTTGAGTTGTAACCCATCACTACAAATGTTATGTACATATAGTGTTAATGAATGTTATATAGCGATGTTTATGAAGTGTCGTGTCTACCCCGCACTGACCTGGTCTTTATGATGTCGACGGGCATAGAGGCGATGGTGGTGACGAGGCCGGACACCATGGAGGCGCAGAAGTGCAACTGAATACCATCAGGTACAATACCCACGAACCACTCGCGAGCCTAAGATACATCGAAAATATTGTAAACTCACACATTAAAAAAATCTGTTTGAAATAACACATAAAAAAATATAAAAAAAAAACTCATAGACGAATTGAGTACCTCCTTCTTTTGGGAAGTCGGTCAAAAAATAAAAAAACAGTTTCTTATGAGTTATGTATAAACATAAATCGACAATGTCTCAGCGTTAATCGCATTATAGCGTATGACTAAACTATCGTATAACTGTTTAGTCTCACGTTGAGTCCTATGAGCTTATATGAACTCTGGAAGACACTATTTGATTTTAGGTTGCAACTAAACAGTTGAATCGGTTGCAATCGACAATCGCACAATAGTTGTGCGATAGTTTAGTCAAAGGTGTGCGTTCGCTTTCAAACTGACCTAACGATTACTCAATCTATATGTTAAATGTGCTTCAATCTTTATACCACATTAACTCAAAAAAGTGACGTATTCATGTTTTATTCGGTTTTGTACAATCAGGAAATCTGGCGGTGTTACACCTTGTCACTTGAACGTTTTGTACACGTTCAGACGACGATGCGGAATAACAGTATAGAACGGTCGGCGATACACGGCTAATTGCTTTTTATTAGTATGTCGTTATTTACTACACTCACTGATCTAATTGATTATTTGTAAGAGGCAAAGTTTGTCTCGACGCAAGGAGGTTCAACTTTAGTCGACAACTGTACGTAAGTCCTAAGTATAGTCGCGGAAATCCGTCGTATTCCAGTTTAGGAAAAATTGCCTTGTATATTGCGAGACAAACCCGACTTATTCCTACAAATAAATAATTAGATAGTGAGTGCAAACGAAGGTATAATAATAATAACTAGCTATGTATCCAGCCAACGTTTTTCGTCAATAAGCTACGTTGTCTTGGTTTTTGTTCCTCATTTCGTTTTAAAATATTCAAACGATTAAAGTCACCAACAAATTCCCCGACTGTACGTTCATCTAATCAATTTTGAATGAGGTGTGTTCTTCGCCGTGTCTTTGCTGGTGGTTTGCTGGTAACCTATGGGTGGTACCTGTGAGTAGGTGCCGAGCTGCGCCGCGTTGACGACCATTGCGCGGATGACGGTGGGCGTGGCGCCGCGCCACAGCTTCAGCACACCCTCCTCCTTGATGATCCTGTTCAGGGCGCACTACATATACTACTAATAAACGCTATGCGAAATGTTGACCAATCTTTCTTATATAAAGCATTAAATTTTAATAATACAAGGCCTATTTTGAATTTTATTGTTAGTAAAACTGTTAGTAGTTTGCGAGTTTACTATGGGGGATTGTAGACATCTTAGTTTTTGAAATCTCACTAATATCATAAATGCTAAAGTTTAGATGGATGGATGTTTGTTAGAGTTTGTAGTCTAAATGGCTGAAGGGATTTCGATGAAATTTCGTACGGATGTAGAGGATAGTCTGGAAGAACAGATAGGCTACTCACTTTATTTTTTTTTTAATTCTAAGCTAGTCTTATACAAAGCATTCAATGTTGCTAATCTATAAAGTAAGCCTAAACTGCTGAACGGATATCTAAGAAAATTGGCATAGATGTAGAGGATAGTCTGAAAAAACATATGGGCTACTTGCGTTTGTTTTTTTTTTTCAATTCCACACAGACGGTGTCGCGCGCAAAAGCTAGTAGTTTTTTTTTATATAATATAAGGTGGCAAACGAGCAAGCGGCCACCCGAATCCACCGAAATGGAAAGCGACCGCTGCCTATAAACATCCGCAATTGCAGATGCGTTGCCTACCCTTGAAGGAGAAGGAGACGCACATAAAGAGGACATTTCCCCTTCCTATGCATCTCCTCCACCATCAAATCCACTTTTCCTTCCCATACTTTGCTCTCAAGAAAAGGGTGGAAATGAAAAAGGACCAAAACTAGGCCTCCAAAAGTTTATTGCGACACCCTTGGTATTATAGGTTACCTGAGGATAGCGTCGACGACATTCTTGTAGTTCCTACGCTGCTCTTTGGGCAGACGGCCGTCGGCGGTCATCCGGATGAGGGCGACCTCGGCGGGCGTGCCTACAAAGGCGCCCACTGAGCCCGCGGCCACGCCTAGCGCCGCCTTTATACCGAACCCGGGCGTGCCGCCGTAATTCCTGGCGCACAAATATATCATCCACTCACCTCTATACATAAATCAAGTTGTGATGGTAGCGTTGGTGAATTCATACTAATAATCGGGGTAGAATTAATTGTAACATCAAAGTTCGAAGCGTTAAAGTCGAAAGGTAGCAGAAGCTGTCGTTTCCAAGCAATCTATCTCTATAGAGATCGGTGATATCACGAAATTCAAACTTAATCAGCGTATGTAAAAATGTGTAATTCACAGACGCCCCTTTCTGTCCACCGCCCTGGGCGGTACCGCGCCCTACCCTAACGAAACTGCTGTTATTAAACGGAGAATGTTTAGTTAGACATTTAAGTGCGTTTAGCATACAATAGGCATTATCGAACGTACAAAAGGGCATCATATTTCAAGTTGATTACACTTAAACTTAAGTCATCGTGAGTCGACGCTCGGTTATCAGATGCTTTATACTTTATACATATCTTTACATAATGTGTTACCACGAATGTTGAGACAAATACATTGATATCGGATTTCATATTACAGTGCTCGTATGAAAGTACAGTCGCCGTCTTACGTGGTGTGCAATTTAAAAGCAACAAAAGTCAAAGGCGTACGGTATAACAAGTGGTCGAAGGTTAAAACCCCGCCATTCTATTGTAAAACTAGCCGTTTCCGTGAGACTTCATCCGCATAAAATTACGAAAATTTGATTTTGTTGTTTACATTTGTCAAATTATCAATTACAAATATCAAAATGACATGACATGATGACAACCTTGCTTCCTTGATGTTGGCAGCAACTTATGGTCTCTTTCCCACATTAGGGTTTTTATCCAAAATATTTACCCCCTAAGTTTAATAGCGTGAAAATATATAGCCTAAAGCGTGACGTAAGTGTAAGGCTTTTTATTGAAAAAGAACAGGCAACAAAGAAGTGTGTGTTTACGCTTTATTATAATAGTATAGATAAATTTGAAAAATCTGCAAACTTAAAAAAAACAATTAAAACGTACACTTCGTGACAATGAAATTGAATGTTATAACAATAGCGTATTACACCAAACAATAATGAGTATCGCACAGGTAACTGTTTATAATACGATCAAAACATCGATAACTTGTTAGAGCAGTTTCTTATTTTCGAGTTGCAAGGCATGTAACTAGTACACAGCGAACATACGCGACTGTACATTTATAATTTAACTTTGACCTTGACACAGCGAATAGCGCGTGACAAGATACTGTGGCTACAAGTAATTATTGACCAAGCATATAATCAAGGCTGTCCTACATTCTCTATGGCACATTGCTAGCAAAAAAAATGATCAAAGTCACCTTAGAAACTACACTTTGAATTAAATAATCAAAAGAATAGATATATTAAACAGATTATCTACTAAAGATAAAAAAGTAAGCATGCACTATTACCGTGATGAAAAAGAATTACAACTGATAATTTCTATTTCTAAGTTAGGTTCCAAATTAATTTGTTTTGGATCTATAAAGAACATTTGATTTTATTTATTTTTTTAAATTATTATGCTGGCTATACATCTGTTTTTGGCCATGAGCCAAATAAGATGAACTATTACCTTTTCAATCTAAAATTGATTCTGCATCTATGTTCCAAGTTACAAAGATATATGAAAATCATTTTATTCCTCAGTAACACTTCTATAGTTCCTATTGAACTTCCATTAATAACTACCAAAACATAAAAATATAATAAATTTTTTATGGCTTTTAAAATGTTTTACAGTCCATTCTAATAATAAAAAAGTCCCAAAGTCAACTTGTGGTGTGATCTTGTAAAAAGATAAAAGGCCTGTCCCAACAAATTATAAATTGTCTGCTAACAATCCAACATGTAATCCCCTTAGCCTCTATCGGCCAGTGGTGGGATGGGCTTTTACTCTAAATATTTTATAGTTACTTTGAATTAAGGAAGATAAACTCACTGCTTATATGAATCAAACAACCAGTTGTAGACACCAAGACGGGAGGTTGTATATGTGGCCTGTCTGAGCAGACCGGCCGATAGACCGGTGTAGAGTGCAAAGAAACCTTCCTTGGCTATAATCTCGCTGGCCACCTTGAAACTAGATAAGTTTCCACCGCCAAGCTGCATCCTCGTCTTGATCAAGTCCAGTGGTTGGACCACACATGTGGCGGCCATTCTGCAATATAAGTTATAAAAAAATAAAAAACGACCTTTAAGCTGGGCCGACTTGTTATTGTATTTTATTGTAATTTTTATCACTAATATTATAAACAAGCGTTCGCCCCGAGCCCATCCCTGTGGATTTAAAAAAATAAAACAAAAGTGAATAGCCTATGTTTTCTTCCAGACTATCCTCTACATCTATGGCAAATTGCATCAAGATCTATCTAGCAGTTTGGGCTACAAATTCAAACAACCATATCTAAAATATCTAATATCTAAAAGATGTAATACTAGCTGTTGCTCGCGACTTTGCCCGCGTGAAAATAAAAAATATAGCCTATGTAACTCAAAAATAAAGGACCTTTCTAGCGGTGAAAGAATTTTTAATATCAGCCCAGTAGTTTTTGGGTTATTTCAAGACATTACAAATATACAAATCTTTCCTCTTTATAATATTAATATAAATGAGAAGTTTAAATGATGTTTGTCAACAGGTAACATTAAAACAGCTATAATCTGTATATTTGGCACAGAGTAGACTGTCTGAAATAATATAAAGGCAACTATGTTTTGTTTTTAATCCCATTGGGCCAATCAATCTGGTTTCCTTCTGTTTGCAATACCAATCATATTGGATATTGTATTCCCATTCATTTGATTCTAATAGAAAATTTGCAAAATTATTCTTTAAATTAGTAAATTAGATGACAGAGAAAGATTTAATTATGTAGAGATGAGGTAACCAACATTATCTTTGTTAGAGATAAAACATCCAAATTCAATAATCTCTTTATGTAGTATTTTGTTAATATAAAATTAATACCGATTTAGTTACAAATTACATTTAATACAGAAAAAAAAACTAAGAGTAGTTTAAAAAGTTAGTAATGAAAAAACTTGATGCATTGTTATTTTTACACAAAAATTGCAGACTAAGAAACTGGACTAATGCCAATCCAGACTGAAAATAAGTTATGTAACAACAAACTTTCTACATTACATTGTAATAAACATTGGGATCATTCTTCCATAACAAATTTTCATTGTTACACACTAGCTTTAGCCCACGACTTTATCTACATAGAATAAAACTATCATCAATACCAAATATTAGCAAGGAAACTTAAGCTATTTTGAACCTACATAGTAACATGCGTCCAACCACACAAACTTGCATTTAAAATATTAATATGATTGGCATTTATAGCCAAACCAAGGAAATAGAAACCCTGACCTTCCTTTAGATCAACTTCTTTATTACATCACTTTTTAATGTGCACAAATAAATTCTATGTTTTTCTTTAATTAGGCAAAGGTTTTTTTTACCTGGTCAGGTATATTTTTTATTTCGAATTTACGTTATGTCTATACAAACCATAGCTACATAGAAATATTTTATCAAGAAGAATCAAAGCAATGGAGTCATTACAAAAAAGTAGATTATTTACTTAAATTATATGTAACATAGTGCCCATTACATAACTATCGCGGCTGGATAAACGTAAACGGTAATTGGAGGTCATATATTGAAGATAACAATTTTAAACGTTTAACATTATGCCGCTAATTAAAACATCACCCGTTGACAAACTTCAGATTTTTTTCGATAAAAATTCAGATGCAATTTTGAAAATCAAATTATTAATAATTGCAAATGCTAATTTCTAATCATAATTTAAAAATATGCCAAACTAGGACTTTGATCCGTTTAAGGACGTTACGGGATAAATAAATATAAAAATAACCGTACCCGGCACCGCCACCGAATGCAAATTTTAAAGCATTTGGTATATATCGTTCTTTCGGAGGTTCTTTAGGAGGCATTTTGAGCACACAAACTATTTACAGAATTAAATATATAGTAATATTGCTGAAACGAGCTATTGTAACATTTGCTAGAATGCAATCGTCTTGTCTTGATTGACTGATAAAAAATTTACTGTCAGATTTTAACCCAAGTTCAAAAATTGACAACTCGGACACTCGGCATAGTAGACAGAGAAAAAATAAAATAAAACCGACAACAGATAAAAACTTTCGCACACAGGTAACAAAAAATCAATAATGTTAAAGACATTTTCAAAATGATTGCGAATTACCGAACGTATAATCTGGAAAACAAAAAAACAATATAGCTTCAATAATGCATTTTATAATGCATTTATATAGAGTAAATTTCTATAGTGTTGTCATTTACATTTTAAATTTTTCGTTTTACGTGTAAAGAATTTCTATTAAATGTAAACATTTCCTGTCGTGGTATTTTTTAAATAGTCTTCTAATAAAAGAAAAATCAACGACCGAAGTTTAAAAATGTTTTGAGTCTTTTTACCTTTGAATACAAGTAATAACAATGCTTACTATTTTAACATGTCTTAAATTATATTTTTTAACTAAAAATTGCCGTATTTGGGAATTGTTAGTTAAAAAATATAATTTCGATTACTCTGATATACATTTCCGGGACCAGGAACTTGGGGCGTCCTCCCTCCAGATGGACTGACGACTTAGTGCGCACGGCGGGAAGTCGTTGGATGTGGAAGGCGGAGGACCGCATTCTGTGGAAGGCATTGGGGAAGGCCTATGCCCAACAGTGGACGAACAAAGGCTGATGATGATGATGATGATGATATACATTTATGTCACGCACATTAATGACATTTCGAAAATCGTCTTTAAATGTCAAACTTTGTCTCTTTTTTTAATCTGTGTAATGTGTTGTTTGTTTGTTGATGTTTTCTTTTCACTAATATTATATATATTGTTCTTTTAATATCCGTTGAAGACATTAATTTAACGTTTTATAGTAGATATCTGTGATTTTATGATTGATGCAACTTTTTTAATAAGATATATAAAATGTCGCAAAGACGCCAAATTAGGAGAAATACCGTTGAAGATACCACTACGTTAGACCGCGCTGCGGTTGAATGTGTTCGATACGTTTTTTCTCGTGAAGGAAGCAAATTACCAATTAAAAGGACTGAAATTTTAAAGTATTTGCAAAATGTCTGCGAGACCCCTTCTAACCAAATTAATAGTGTAATGGTTGAGGCCAACAAAGTTCTAAAATCGGTACGTTTGAAATATTATATACACAGATATTTTTAAGGTCCTTAGTATAGAGCTATTAGAAATCAATACTTCGGGACCGGCTTAATCGTGAGTAAAAACTATGTGAGGTATACAAATTTATTATTTAATAATTTCAACTACCAAAGATAATATTTTACTATTTGCATTTTTCAGGTTTACGGGTACAAATTGGTGCAGATTGAGGCAAAGAATGGTGTACAGTATATAGTGGTACTTGATGATGAATGCCAATCATTGTCATCAAGTGTTATAGATCCCCAACAACGTAGGATATTAATTGCATGTTTAATTCACATATTTATGTCAGGAGGGCCTGTTAAAGAAGGTTTGTTAGTCCAGTAATACTTCTATCTATTTTTGTATAAGGCAAAAGAGCAAACAATTATATAATCATATAAATATTACAAATGTGAAAGTTACAAAGGATGGATGATTGTTTGTTAGTGTTTGTAGCCTAAATGGCTGAACGGATGTCCATGAAATTTGGCACAGATATAAAGCATAATCTGGAAGAACACATAGGCTACTTTTCATCCCAGGAGTAGTTAGGGTTCCCATGTTTTTTAATGTTTACTCGATTATTCTGCAATGGATCAACATATCTTACTGAAATTTGGCACAGATATAAAACAAAGCCTAGAGTACACATGAGATAAGGTTCATCCCCGAGAAATGTCTGGTTCCCGAGGAATATGTAGTTTTTTAATATTTATATAGTTCATATGTTTTCTAATACCAGGCGGATGAAGTCGCAGGCAACAGCTAATTTACAAATAAATGTAAGCAATACATATCTGCAATTGAAGATGTGTTGCTTACCTTTAATGGAGGAGACACATAAAGAGAATATTACCTCTTCCAATGCATCTTTACCATAACATCTACTATCTCTTGCCATCCTTACCTTATATAAAAATAACTTGGTGTGTTTTTCATGTGGTCATGTATTAAGATGTTAAAATACTATAAATTGTGAGGGTAGGAAACAAGTATCCTTGACTAGCTAACATTTATTTTTAGATGATATGTGGAAATTCCTCTCAGAGTGTGGTCTGTTGGAGGAGAATGATTACGCTGGTCGCAAATCGTTCATTAGTGCAACAACTAAACAAATGTATTTACTTCACACTAAGGTATGTTTTTGTAATTTACATAATATATCAATGGGTGAAAGGCTATATGTTTTAACCGCCAGTTTTGGGACATATTGACTCATATATTCAGAATTTTGAATCTATACTTCTATAATATTATAATAAAGCGTAAACACACACTTCTTTGTTGCCTAAGATGTCAGCAATCACAGCATGTTTTCGAATAACTCTTTTTTTAATAAAAAGCCCTACACCTACGTCACGCTTTAGGCTATATATTTTCATGCCGTTAAAGTTAGGGGTAAATATTTTGGATTAAAACCCTAATGTGGGAAATAGATGAGTATTTTTGTTTTATTTCAGGTTGGTGACGGTGAGTTGGCAAGAAATGTATTTGAATGGGGCAAAAGAGCCACAGAGGAAGTACCTAAAATATTTCTACTCAATAAAATGGCAGAGGTATGAAACCTTTTTTGAAACTCAATTTTCTTATTCATTTTTTACTAAACTAGCTTTCGCGAGCGACTCAGTCCGCGTGGAATTGAGAAATACAAAAGTAGATAGCCAATGTGTCCTTCCAGATTACCCCCTACATCTACACCAAATTTCATTTAGATCCTTTCGGCCATTTAGGCTACAAACTCTAACAAACATCCATTCATCTAAACTTTCGCATTTATAATATTAGTAAGATTGATTTAATAACATTAAAGATGGTTAATAAAGGAAATACAATATTGAGTAATTACTTAAAAAGACTAGATTATTTGTGAGTAATATCGGTCAGTAAATTAGAATTAAGCTTGGTTTTATTGAGTCTTAGAAAAAAATTACGTGAGGTTTATTTTTAAATTCCCCCCCCCCCTGGTGAGATGTCGTGAGATTTTATTCAACGCCCTTCTCCATCCCCCAATCTCACGTGAGAATTTTTCAAAATGTAAATTTCTTACGTAAACGCGTTGGATTGTTATTGTAAAAAAAAAAATCTTGATAACTCATTTTAAATTAGTAAGAGTATGCAGCTTGCACTGAATCGAGTATAACATTTACAAGAATAAACAAAGCAGTTTGGAACCTGTCCGTGTGTCGCTGCCCTCAGCTCGTACGCTCTCGTTCATCGAGTCGCGCGTTCGGCTGACAGTGGCGCGAAAGAAAGGCCGGGCTGCACTGTACCGTAAATTCAGATTACATTGAGCTATCTATATCTATACTATTATAATAAAGCGTAAACACACACTTCTTTGTTATCTAAGATGTCAGCAATTACACCATATTTTTGAATAATTTTTTTTTAATGAAAAGCCCTACACTTAGATCACGCTTTAGGCTATATCACACCATTAAACTTAGGCGGTAAATATTTTGGATAAAAACCCTAATGTGGGAAAGAGACCATAAGCTGCTGCCAACATCAAGGAAGAAAGATTTAGGAATCTTTAGAAACCTTAGGAGGTTTGTCATGTCATGTCATGTCATTTTGACATTTGCTTTTGACGATTTGACAAATGTAAACAATAAAATAAAATTTTCATAATTTCAAGCGGTTGAAAAAAATTAAATCTTAAGCTTCTACAATATGGATAAATGGGCCAAAATAGTGTATTTTTTTTTATTTCAATCAGAAAAACAATTGCATGATTGCCGTGACCTAAGACCTCTCTCCAACGTAAGATTTGACCCGAACCCTCCTCCCCTAAAACACCTCACGTAATTAATGGACGCCCCCTTGATAAAAATACAATAATTCATTGTTCTTCGTATTTCACAGGCTTTAGATAAAACACCTGATCACTGGTATGAACAATATAAGGAAGCTACTGAAGGGACTTAGTTTTATAGATGATTTTGTTAATAAATAAAAATAAACCATTTTTTTATATTAAAACCTGTTTTTTTATTTTAACGCGGAAGTGTGCGTGATGTGCTTTGGGTATCAGAAAAGACTAACAGTCAGATTGCTGGTTTACAATATACCATTACAGTAGGCCAATGCCACGGTCTAGCATTGTGTTGCCTCACTGGCGCCAGTTTGTGTCAACTTTATGCCAGTGCTTAAATCCAATGGCGAAAACGATACGATACGTCCGAAAATCAGACGAAGCGGGGAACTGCTTCCAATTCACGCCTGTCTTCTATGTGGTCGTAATATTGCAGGCGAGCCGGCCCTACAGATATTAAATAAAAAATATACATTTTTAATCAAAAATTGAAATTAAACTAAAATATAACCGTCATTCGCCACATTAAGGACTCGCGGTAAGCCGCCCACATTAACCTTAGAACTTGTAATGCTACTATTGACGTGCGCGCCCTAGGGTCCTGGCTCCGGCGTCCTTGAGCACCAAAACACCAAGTCTTCAAATTATTATCAAATGTAGTTATGTAAAAAATCATGTTTGCATGATATCAGACACATTATTAAAAATAAATAATAGCAATCGAGTACTTAACGTTACATGTTTATCACTTTTTTTTTTTTGCAAAAACTATTAAAAATAATAGTTTATCCGTTTTTACACATTTTGTTATTAAAAAAAATATTTAAACATGACAACACTACATTATTAAGCTACGTACACACTAGTTTATGTGTGTGGGTTTCTAATAGTGTTTGACTAATTTTATTCACTGAAAACGATAAATGCTTTTGTTGCTTGACGGACAAAACTGTTTTTCGTATATACTCAAGTATTTGTTGATTTATAATAATTCTGTTGCGACCGCCTGTCGCTAATTTATAATTACTATTGGTAAATATTGGTAAATAATAATGTTTAGTAATGTTTTTTAGATTGCGCAGTTTTAGTCAACTTTTTTATCATGCTTTTAGCCTCAAATGTATAACTTTATTGCTTTTAAACTGACCTTTTTTTAATATTTCTTTAGAACCCTACTTATGTATTGTGGTTATCTTATTCTGTTGTACAGAATATCTTAGTACGAAAGGCACTTAGTGTTTTAATTTAAATAAAGAAAAAAAGTTGTATTATTATTTAATATAATTTATGCTTTGTCTTAACCAGTCTAAACGCAGCTTTATGTGAGACGTCATCGTGATGCCTAGAAATTAAAAACCTACCATAATCTGAGTTGGTATGGTATATAAAGAAAACTTGATTGGCAACAGCGGCATTTGCATATATTTTTCTGATATCGTCGAGTGAGCTGTATTTATAGGCGGTGTTAGAAGCCGGTTGAATATATAATTCGTTCTAAACTTTAAAATTCGGTAAGTACTTTTTAGTTTTATTTTTAGTCTCTATTAGGAAGTATGCTTTGTTATGTTGATATTAAAAGATTTTAGTTGCTGTGATCGATCTAAAAATGTTTCTTATATTTCGTTAACTCGTAACATATTTTGCGTATGAACTAGGATTTTTTTAATCCATGTGGTAGTAACCTAGTTACTAATCTATAAATTTTTCTTATTTTTGACTAGAAAAATGGCAAAATTCTACTATTTTAATTTGCGTGGTCTGGGAGAGTCATGTCGACTTCTGCTGACATACACCGGCGAGGAGTTTGAAGACCACCGCGTCGGGATGGAGGAATGGCCGGAGTTAAAACCAAGTAAGTATAAATAGCATAAAGTAGTTACTAGTACATATTTCAGACAATTTAATACTGTTTTCTATACCTTTATCAAACATATCACCTCACTAACTTACATTTGTGGACATATTTGGAAATATGGATCATTTTGTACACTTACATTAAATAATAAATGTTAACACACTTTGACAAAGTAAGATTACAACATATTTTGTACTGAATCCAAATAATAAACACTGTTAGATAATAAAAAAGGTAAGTTTATTATACTATTCATTTCCATCACCTTGACTTGGTTTTGAATAACAATTATTGTTAACAAAGACTGTCCTGTATGTTTGTTCACAATGGTACAATGGTGTACAGTGGTACGATCAACAAGTCCACTATCACAGGATATACAAAGATATACTTGTGACCGATCATTATATTAATTTTTTTATAGCTTTTTTTTGTGATAGGAACAGATGGTATTGACAGTGCTGTTTGTTTATCTTATCTTGGGAATTCATGTTTTTAAACACTATTTATTTAAAAGTGAGATAGTGGACAGTGTTATGATAGTATTCGAGAAATTGAATTAATCTTACTTTTTACTAGTGTTATAAATGTAAAGTTTAGATGTTTGGTTGTTTATTAGACTTTAATGAATAATGAATAAACTGCTGAACAGATTTTGATGAAATTTAGTATAGATGTAGAGGATAGTCTGGAAGAACACATAGACATTGCCGGCCACCATGTAGGTTAGATCTAGTGATAGGTATCTTAGTATTTCAAAGTAGTTTAAATGTTTTAATTTTTCGATTCTCTAGTGAGGACAACCACTACCCCACGGTGACGCGAAACAAAACACGATTCATCTATATCTCCCTAGAGTAATTAACTAAGGCGCCGCAAGTCGTAAAAACTAAGGCGTGCAAATGCAACACGATATTTTGTTAAAACATAGTACGTTTTATTTTACATTTAATTCCTTGCTATCAGAAACGACGTTCGGTCAACTGCCGATCCTGGAGGTGGATGGCAAGCAGTACGCGCAGAGCATCGCCATTAGCCGCTACCTCGGCCGTAAGCACGGCCTTGCTGGCGACACCCTCGAGGAAGACCTCATCATCGACCAGACTGTGGACTTCCTCAATGACATTAGAGCTAGTAAGTAATCTATAACATCTCTTTTTACTTCTATATACTAATATAAAGGTAAACACACACTTCTTTATGTAGGATATCAGCAATCACAGTATATTTTTTTTTTTAACGAAAAGCCATACAACTGTAAGCTTTATTTCCTCGCTATTTAATTTAGGTGGTGCATATAATGCAAAAAAATCTAATGCAAAAAGGGACAAAAGCTACAAACCGAATAATAATTATCAGGTGATTTGTTTGGTTTTTACTACTGTCTTATAATAGTAAAAACTCAAGTTTTTCAAGTAATTTGTCATTGTCGCTACTTATCAACGTGATTAAAGAATAATTATCTATACTAATATAACAAAGTGTAAACACAGTTATGTAGGATATCAGCAATCACATATTTTTGAATAATCATTTTATTGATAAAAAGCTCTATAGGTTAAATATTTTCACACTATTTAATTTAGATAGTGAATTGGAAAAAACCGTCATGAGGGAAAGGGACGAAAACTACACGCTAATAGCGGCAAAGGAACAAAATTGTTATAATAATGGTAAATGTTATAGGACTTAGTTGTCATTTGTGTGTTAGAATTTTGATATTTGCATCAGAAAATTTCGCAGATATACATTTGAAATATAGTTTTTTTTTATATTATGCGACTGAAGCCGCGCGACCACAGCTAGTTTTTCAATAAGTGGCTTTGTTATCTCAAGCATGTAGAGATAACGCGCGCCTGGAGCCGCGACCGACTCATTCTTATACAATCTGTAGTGTTTTTACACAAAACACTTATAGTATCAAGATATATTATCTGTGTGATAATGGTTGTTGCTATGTGTTTGCGATATTGTAATTTTATAGCGTGACTAGTTTCCGTTTCGCACGGCGGGACATTTATTTTTTATATATTTTTATAAAATTATAGCCTATGTTCACTTATGTTTTTACTAAGATTATAAATGCGTAAGTTTAGATGGATGGACAGATGTTTGTAGCCTATACTGCTGAACGGATATCGATGAAATTTGGCATAGATGTATAGGATAGTCTGGGAGAACACATACGCTTTTTACTCGTTTTTTTTAAATTCCGTCCTTACAAATTAATAGGCTATAGTAGGTTTTTGAGTTTTGATCTTATAATACTAATCACCGCACTCAGAGTCTTTGTCGTTCCTTAGTGATCTATTCATGATTTTTAGTGCAGTAATTAACAAAGCGTTTTTACCACAGAGGCGGCCACTGTGCATTATGAAAATGACGAAGCGGCGAAAGCTAAGAAGCACGAGGATTTTGCCAAGAACGTCTACCCCGCAATGCTGGACAAGCTTGATGAAATTATAAAGCAGAACAATGGTCATCTGGCACTTGGCAAGGTAAGAACATCAGGTCAAGGTCATTTTTTTGCGGTTACGTGTACCTTTTTTCATTTTTTTTGTTCAGTTGGTTCGGTATTTTTTTTTATAGTGTATTATGTATTTTTCTTCTTTTTTAGTTACTATCGAAATATTCAATGTCGTAAATAATTTAAATGTTTGTTTCTGTCAGCTGACGTGGGGTGACTTTGTGTTCGCGGGCATCTTCTTGTACCTGAAGACGATGCTGCAGATGCCGGACCTGGAGGAGAAGTATCCGAGCTTCAAGAAGCTGTACGATACCGTCTTCTCTTTCCCCAAGGTCCAGGAGTACGTCTCCAAGTTGCCTAAGCCCGTATACAACTTCTAACATGTTAATTATATGTACCAGTGTTTTATTTCTTTTTTTTGAAAAGTAAAAAAATATATTTTCAATATAATGTATTATTAAAGTAAGATGATCAGGTTTTCGTAAAGGTATGAACCGTTGTGAGCGCGCCTTAGTTTTTGCGACTCGTTGCGCCTTACTTTTCTAGACAGTTTCGCGTCCAAAAATAGTATTGTAAAAGTTGAACTATATTATAAGCATATTAATAGACAAAAAATATGTTGTTACTGAGGCGCTACAAGTCGGAAAAACTAAGGCGCGGATGTTTTATTTTCATATACATTGGAAAACATTTAGTTAAATGTTAATGCATAAAATGATATTAAATTGTTTCTTAGGTGGCCTAAGGGACAAAAATTTCATTTTTAACTCATTTATTTTAAAGCGTTAGTTAATTTTACGTCATATGTCGTTTTTATACAGAAGAACCTCGATAAGTTAAGGTCCAAGGGAAACACAAAATATTTTAAGTTATACAGGTTTTAAGTTATCAAGAGTCTATGTTGTAGAGGTTTTGGGCTCTGATGGGAAGGGAACATATTATTTTTTGAAGTTATAGAGGTTTTTAAGCTACCGAGGTTTGAGTTAACGAGGTTCTACTGTAGTATTCTCATATTGTAAACACCTTTTAAAGGTTTTGATATTGTCAGTGTCTTAAATGTTGTATTGTTTTATTTTAAGTGTAATAAAAGTATATTTTAAGTTGATTTGCAGAAAATAAGCACAAAACATAAATGTGTATCCTATATTAATAAACAATTTTATAACAAATGCTGTATTATTTTATAACCTCAACCTTTTTACTTGGTACTTTGTTTACGAAGAATTGAGAAAAAAAACCGTTTTAAAAAAGTTAAAAAAGGTGTATTCTCGTACTGTGCTAAATATAGAAATCTATAAAGCCGTTTTGGAGATACCTAGTAACAAACATCCATCTAATTTTTTACATCTTACTAATGTTATAAACGTTAGTCTATTTGAATGGATGTTATTTGAAGGTATATTCAGAACGGCTCAACAGATTCGTTGATTGGATTTAAAATTCCAGATCTGTATACTAATATAATAAAGCGTAAACATACACTTCTTTGTTGCCTAAGATGTCAGTAATTACAGCATATTTTTGAATAATTCATTTTTTAATAAGAAGTCCGGTCTTTTTTTAATAAAACGTCACGCTTTAGGCTATACATTTTCATGCCATTAAGCTTAGGTGGTTAATATTTTGGATAAAAACCTTAATGTGGGAAAGAGACCATAAGTTGCTACCAACATCAAGGAAGCAAGGTTTATTGCTTTGCCGTTATGTCATTTACAATTGATAATTTGACATGTGTAAACAATAAAATAATTTTTTCTTAATTTCATGCGGATGAAGTCGCACGGGAACACTACTTTTTTGCAATTCCTCGCAGACAGATTCACGGGTGATAGCTAGTTCACATTAGTGTGAGTACTTTTACTGTCATTGGAAATGTCTATTTTTCCCTTCGTATACTCGTAAATGTATACAATGATTTGATCAATACAATGCAGATGTCGTTTCCCGTGACCTTCAGACGCGTATGGTAAATTACTTTGTGTGAATCATTCCGAGTTACCTCTCGTATTATAATATCGCTATCTTTATCATTCTCTTTAACAAAACAGAGATAGAAAGCATGCTCTGCTAGGCTGGGAATACATGTGCAAGGTTTCTTACGTCCAGCATGTCAGCCATGCAGTAGAACAATAACTCAACAATTTACACATATCAAAAAAAAAATAATTTTGAGTGTAAATGTATGTGTAAATTGAGAAAAGGGTTCAAGATGGGGTAGCTCGACACATATTGTGCCAGTGGCTGTCATGCTGGCTAATATCCTGTTTACTGGTTATCTATTTTCGCCTTTTATCCCGCATATTAGTCTAGAATTTTGTTCGACAAAAACAGACAAAAGCATCCTTTTAGTTTGTCTCATTAAGTGTGATTAGTTTGACAATTAAGTAGGGATAGGTTGTGTAAAATCATGTATGTATATTTTAGACGAACTATAGTTCGCTAAAGTTATTTGAGTACCGAGTAATTTAGTAATTTAAAAGTCGATAAGATTAGCAAATAATCGGGCGAGTTTGAAATAATTTTGTTATAGTGTGTCTAAATAATTTAGATTAGTTTGACAATTCATTTCAAATTTAGTAGGGATGGGTTGTGTAAAATCAGTCATGAATCTTATCGATTTTTATTCTTTTAGAAATTGGAATCGATAGATTTATAGTTATAACTTATGAAAAAAAAACACTGTTCTCTCAAATTATTAATGACTATAACAAATAATGAGAGTAAATAAATGTTTATTACTACTATATCCGCATGTAATCGAATTGGATTTTGCTATTATTTATGTCATCGCTAAATTGTCTACACAAATCAATACTAGAATTATCCTCTAAATTGGTGAATAAGAAAGTAATAATTTTAGTTGAGTTCGATAATTATTTAAACCGAATATCGATAGTTAAAAATTGTTCGCTGCGTGTTTGTTTTGACACTACGATACCTGTCTATTAAGTATGCATTTGCCTTCATACAAATTGAATTAGATACTTCATATGCGTCATTTATCAAACTAATCTATCTTATTTAGACACAATATAAAAGTTTTTTTAGTCATAGATAGAATAGATTTCAAAATTTTTTGACTATATTTTTTGATGAAATAAAACACAAAAAACGTACTTTAATATATTAAAAAAATAGCTTAAACAAATAAAATAACGTATAATAACTAATAATCAGTTTTAGGCGCTGCGTCAATGTATGCCTTTACTTTAGGCAACTCGCACACGGTGTCCTTCAGTTTCTTGAAGCTCGGATACTTCTCATCGAGTTCTGGCATTTGGGTAACCATTTTGATTGCATCATATATTCCGGCGAAGATAAAATCAGCCCAGGTCAACTAAAATATACAAAATTAGAACATTCTTAGATAATTACACCGGAAAAAAAGTTATAGTATTTCACACAGACATTAAAATAATGTATAGACGAGTCAATGAGCAAAATTTATTCATCGGTACTTTCCCTGAAAGGTACTATCTCGATTGTCAAGTTTAGTGCCACCTCATGCCCTTGTATCTATACTTCTATACTAATATAATAAAGCGTAAACACACACTAATTTGTGGCGTAAGATGCCAGTAATCACAGCATATTTTTGAATATTTTTTTTTTCATAAAAAGCCCTAAACTAACGTCATGCTTTAGGCTATATATTTTCACGCTATTAAACTTAAGTGGTAAATATTTTGGTTAAAACCCTAATGTGGAAAAGAGACCATAAGTTGCTGCCAACATCAAGAAAGAAAGATTGCTAAGGTTTGTCATGTCATGTCATGTCATTTTGACAATAAGATTTTCATAAATTCATGCGGATGAAGCCGGACAGGAACAGCTAAGCTCCCTTTTTTTATTAAAATACACTAAACCGTGTCAAAAAGTAAAATACAAATACTAAATATTATAGACAGTTAATGGCAAATCTATACATCGATATATGGCGTGAGATGATTATAAGAAAAGATTCAATAATGCCTACTCTATATAATTGAATCTCTTTGATTTCAAATAAACGTGTGAAACATAACTCGACCCATAATATATGGGTCATGGGGGTCATGACCCCCCTGAGCTGCTTGGTGAAGAGCTTGAGAAAATGTATTTACATATTTTGTCAAGCTCTTGACTTGACCACGACTATGT